GCAGTCCTGCCCAGGCTGGGAAGGGATACAGAGTTGAGTTGCCATAGCGACGTCACATTCCACATATCTTCTGAGGGGGGAGTTTTCGTTGGAGCCTTGCAAGCTCAAGGGCGCCAGATTCCAATTAGAAATTGTTTTGGGGCCAGACAGAGATAATTTCCTCTCTGTCTAACAGTTTGTTGGTCCTCAACCTCTCAAAATCCCAATAATGGACGTTAATCTATCCCAATCCGTGCTGATTCGTCCACTCTCTCCTTGATGGCATCCATCTTTTGTGCCACAGAATGAATCTCCACCAAAGTCCCAAGCTTACGATTCATTTAGACAATTATTTGAGTCTGTGAATTCACAGCGCGCTGCAAACCATCTCTGAGATCCGGGATCAGGCCAATATTCCTCGACAGCTCGTTAATTTTCCGGTAAGCCAGGTAGCCTCCAAGGCCAATGAGCAGGAAACCTGGCACCAACACCACGAATATCCACACGTCTTCAGAGTCCTCCACAGACAATAAACAAATCAAGTTCCACTGTTTCCAGGAGTCCATGATGCGTCCAACTGGGTCTGTCCCGGCAGGGCATCCGGGAGCCCCTTCTCCCGTTCTCATCATAGAAACATTTTTTATCAATCGCGTTGAGAGACCAACTGACGAGATCCATTTATGTCAGGGGTGTCAAACATGCGGCCCGCGGGCCGAATCCGGCCCGCAAGCGGGTTAAGTCCAGCCCGCGAGATGGTTGTGTAAACTTTATTTTCATACTTTAAAATGTAGAGTGCAAATAAACCTATCATTGTGAGCAAGTTTTCTCTGTAATGAGTATAAATAAAACAAAGCTGCGCTCAAGGCCCACACAAGAATTTGAATCACATCCTGAAGTTGGCTGCCACTCAGGATGTGACTTCTGATAATGATGTGCCGGTGAAAGCTAAAAGATGTAAAGTAAAATAAGTCAAATATACTTTAAGTGCTGCATGAATCTGATCTAGCCATGTGATCTGTAAGCTCTTTGAATCACTAAGGAATGTTTTTTTAATTTATTGATGTTTTTTTTTTTTCAAATTTTCAAGTACACTTCAGGTGTTGTACTTGTACTATTTTGGATACACTGTCCTCAGGCTCCAGCCTTGTTTTATATTTATTGTATTAAAACAAAGAAAACAATCTGAAGTTTTTTTTTATTTACCGGTCCAGCCCACTTGGGACTAGATTTCCCTCGAAGTGGCCCCTGAGCTAAAATGAGTTTGACACCCCTGATTTAAGTGAATTTCAGTTTCCAGTTTCCAGAAAAATGCAGAAGCAGCCGTGCACCCAGCACACACAGACAGACAAAGGCCTTGAGGATAAGATATGGAGGAGAGGAGAAGAAAAGCGTCTGCAGCCTCCAAGAGCCAGAAGAAGAAATCACATCCACATGTTAAATTAAACTTAAATTGAAAAAATAAATAAATCTAATATTTACTTGGGGGTGCTATGGGGGTGCAATGACTAATCCAGGGGTAGCTATAGCGCCCCCTAGCGCACCCCCCCCCACACACACACACACCTCTCGGGGGGCCGCCACTGGGTGAAAGAAAGATGGCCAGCCAAGTTAATCAGACAGGCAGTTTGAGAGCTAAGAGTTCTGAAAAATTCAGACTTATGTAGAGAGTCCTGTAAAGCAGGTTTTATGAGACACGTTCATCTTGCAATAAAGTTGTGTTTGTGTTGCTAAGCAACCTGCATCCCTGTGAAGCATCAGTCCATTGGAGCCACAGAGGCACCTACCTGGTCTTCAGTGTCACCCACGTTGGGAAATGTGACGCAGAGACCTGAGAGGTTTTTGGTGAGTGAATCAACGGCTTTGACATCCTTTTAAATAAATGAGTCAGCTCTGACTGCAGAGTCTGTTTCTCGTTAGAGGATGTGGCAATGGCCTTCACAAACAAAAGATTTCTCTGCTGTCATGTGAGAACCACACCAGGATTACTTCAAGACCTTCTCCATGAATCATGCCTTCATTAAAGCAGTGACCGGATGAATTTATGGTGCTTTTTCCCCCAAGATGTTTATGAAAGGATCAAGGAAGGCTCTGGGTTTGAAGTTTCAGTAAACTATCAGTGATCCATACTTTGTGACTGCTTCTGTGACAAATAGAAGAGGAACATGCTCATCTGGGATGTTCCTCCTGGACGTGGATACGAGAAAGAAATGAGAAGAATGGGTTTTCATTTTTGAAACAAAAGAACAAAGCAACTCGTGTTTGTTTTAAATGCTGGTTTCTGGGGGGAAAACTGTTATGGTTACGTTTCTGCTGTATTTTCACCTTCATCTTTCTCGAGCGTCTGCAGCCTGCATCTCTAGCTCTTTGGGCCATCTCCACAACAGCTCTTAAGGACGTTGTTTTAATATAGATAATAAAAAATACAAATTTTTTTCCTTCTGTTTTTGCAAGCAAGTGATATTTGTGTGTTTGAATAAGACCTTACCAACGGATGGCCATCAGGGTAAAAGATCCCTGGGAGCACAACCTCCAGCAAAATGACAAGAACATCAGACTCCCTTTCATCAGTGGCAACAAGTGAAGAGGAAAATGTGTAAAACAACGTTTATAAACAAAGAAAGTTTTGTAAACGCTTGTTACAAATCCGTAAATGCATTTTGTCCCCGGGCTGCCGTAGTAAACATAGCATCCAATATGGGGTCGCCTAAAGACTTAAGCCCAATCTCAATACTCGCCCTGCAGTCTTCAGCAAAGTGCACTTGGAGAAAGCATGCTGTAAGGCTTCGAGTGTGTAGTACACAAGTGTGCAAATAAGTGCCGAATGAGACAAGGAGCATTGCTTCATTGACCGCAACGCACGCCGGGATGCTGGTCGCTGCGATGCTTTAAAAAAAACTTTATTAACAACTTTAATACAAACAACCAAACAATTATTTGAAATAAATGTAAATGTATAGCTGCTTTGTCTAAAATTTTCAGAGCATCAACTAATCATCCTAAAATGAACTCATTTCATTAGAAAATACATATTTTCAGAAAAGGCACTTGAGCCTTTCCTGCCGCAGCAATGGATTGTGGGTAACAAACTTCACCCAAGTCCGCGTGATGCAGAATTGGGTGAAGTGCGAATCAAGGGCACAAAAGGGGAGTTACCAACTTCCGCACTTGAGATTCGGGACACCCTACGCACTTGCACTGGTCGGGATCGCGCAATAGAAGGGCGCAAGGGTAGAAGTGTGAGTATTGAGATTGGGTCTTAGTGATTCTCAATGCCAAGGTACCTCATCTTGATGTCTTGGTCCCGCCCCGGTTGCCTAGGAGATACATCATCAAGAACCACCAAGGCATATTCTAATGTTGATGTTCTACCGAGGTGTCTGTTCTCTGTTTGTTAGCCGTTTAGCAAGCTGACCACAGATACACGAGAAGTGTCTTGTAGCCTAGCCTGAGATTTCCCAGAATACACATATAAGGATGGGTAAGTCAGGGTTAACTGGCCAAGTTTGTTGGCATGATGAAGCTGCTGCATGTGATTTATAAAGATCAGGAACACCGCACGTCTTTAATGAGATTATTTGTTCTCCCAACTCAGAATGGTGTCAGTTTTAGTCCAACACAAAGCCACATTTTCTCTCGATTCATTTCTGGTCTGCCCTCATTTCTTCTTCTTAGTCCCCCATGTACAAACCTTCCCTAGGAGGCAACGCATTCGAAATCCAATGAACAAAGTTGGAAATAAACTCACTTTGGGACTGAAAGGAGTCATTTACCAGGAGCAATGTTTATTAGAATCACCGACTCTATACAACTGCTGCGTTTTACAGCAAATACACGTAGAGACGGCAGCAGCACGGCATGTACAAAAATACTCAGATGGTTTTCTGTTGCACAAATGATTAGGATCATATAATATAAATTTATCTGTATGTTAAATATGCACATTTATACACAACACAAAGATGCTATGGAGTAAAGAGAATTATACACAAGTATGCACAGCTATACATGGTGGAGATATTTAGAATAAAGAACATTTTGGGACAAGACTTAACATAAAATGGCTTTAATTTACAGTGCTGTTATGTGAAACTGTTGCATAAATATGTAAATATAGGCAGGAAACTGAGCAGATGCTGTTTTTATGTCAATACATCGGAATAAGACTTGGTTTACTGTCATTTAAAAGTAAACCTCTAAAACTTAGCAGCACTAATGTTAAAGCGTCATGAACAGGACAGTTATGGCGCAGTATGGCGCCAAAATTAAGGTTACTGCCCAGCAGCAGGAGGCTATATAAATTCTGAAGCAAACTACTGATCTGATTAATGATAAGTTGGCGCCGGTAACTGAGAGGCTGGTGCTGCTTACTGAGGAATAGCACCTTTACCGGAGTTATTACTAGATACACTAGGGAATAGCAGCCCTCGGCTGGTCATTGACTGGTTCACACACTCCCTCTGCTGTCTATTAGCATGGATAGGCTAGCGTTAGCCTGGACGGGCTGGTGTTAGCATTGGAGAGGCTAGCCATTTGCGTGCCTAAGCTGGCCGCTAGCTGGATTTCCTATCCCCTTGACAGACCATTAGCATGGATAGGCTGGCGTTAGCATCGGAGAGGCTAGCCACTAGCGTGCCTAGGCTGGCCACTAGCTGACTAGTGACTCTGAGATATGCTAATGGCTAGCCTCTCCGATGCTAACGCCAGCCTATCCATACTAATGGTCCGTCGAGGAGGTAGGAAATCCAGCTAGTGGCCAGCCCAGGCACGCTAATGGCTAGCCTTTCCAATGCTAACGCCAGCCTATCCATACTAATGGTCCGTCGAGGAGGTAGGAAATCCAGCTAGTGGCCAGCCTAGGCACGCTAATGGCTAGCCTTTCCAATGCTAACACCAGCCCGTCCAGGCTAACGCTAGCTTATCCATGCTAATAGACAGCAAAGGGAGTGTGTGAACCAGTCAATGACCAGCCGAGGGCTGATAGTCCCTAGCGTATCTAGTAATAACGTCGGTAAAGGTGCTATTTCTCAGTTAGCAGTGCCAGCCTCTCAGTTACCGGCTCCAGCTTATCATTAATCAGATCAGTAGTTTGCTTCGGAATTTATATAGCCTCCTGATGCTGGGCAGTAGTCTTAATTTTGGCCCCCATACCGCGCCATAGACAGGCAGACGGGAGGATTCTATATGGCAACACGAGAGTAACGACAGTCATCACTATGGCAACACGAGAGTAACGACAGTCATCACGTAAAATAATTATCTGAAAATCCTCCAAACTTTCTTCATGAAGTGTTTGCTGAGGGGAGAGCTGCCGTCGTCTCTGCTGGTTGGTGACGAGGCAGACCCCACCTGTACTGGTAAAACCTGACGTACCACCACACTGATATGCAACTTACATGGAAGATAATCACATCTGATCAGAATGCTCTCTTATTGTACAACCCGCCCAGACTAAAGGTCTTAATTACACGTATGACTCTTCTGCAAAAAACAGCTGTTCAAAATCGTCCAGGTGCGGGTCGCTGCACCTCCTGCTCTCCCACTCCTTCTTACCCTGTACGATAGCTAGCGCCACTTCCTGACTCCTCCGAAGGGAGGAATTAGCATCTGCCTGACCCTGTGAGGAAAAGTAGTCCCTGACCACCCGGGTGGCAGAGGGAGAAAGGCAGGTGTGTGGTTTGGAGCAATTGGGCTCCTCTGATATTCTCAGCTCGTGGTCTTGGACCTGACTGACCAGCGGGAGGCTTGTCGGGGATTCGGAATAAGCGCTGACCTTGGCAGGTTCTGAGGCTCTGCGGGGGAGAGTCTTTCTCCCTTTGAGACTGTCCACTCCGGGACAATGAGAGTGGGATTTTGGTCTCTGGAGGACCAGGGTGGTGGAACTCTGTCCATAGAAAACACTTTGTGGGGGCAGCACCACCCACTCAGTCCCTACCTGTCCCTGTGTGACCTCACTTCCTGTGTGTGGTTTGGGATCAGCAGGGCTGGAGTGTTTGCAGGACGGATCGTGGAGTTTTCGCAGCTCTTTGACGGTGAGCGGTTTTTCTGTCCCTTTGTAGAAAGGAGAGCGGTTCCGCTGCAGCTGCAGCAGCGCCTGCTGGTAGGACGGAGGGCTGCTGGATCTCCGCTGGTGACTTTGACCCACTGCCACACCCTCCTGGACCGTAGCTGAAATGCTGTTAGCGGTTGGACTGGAATTGCGGTTTAAATCGGGTAAGTCGTCAGTGCGCCCACTCTCGGGTTGCCTTAGAGACAGGCAGCGGTCCTTTTTAAGCCACGTGTTCGGGTGGAGGCCGTGCGAGTGGGAGGAGGGGGGTTTGCCGGTCCGATGGGCAGACTGAGGCCAGTGAGGCAGGGCTTCCCTTTGTGGTGGTGAGTCCCCGGGAGACTTCTGTGGAACTACTCCATTGGTAGCGTAGTCTGTAGAGTATTGTGAAAAGGCGGAGTCTAAAGAGCTGAGGGAGGAGCCTGTTGGAGAGGTGGCTGGTGACGACAGACTGGAGCAGCTAGCATCTAGTCGCAGTGGAGGAGGAGGTCCATGCTTCGTCCTCCTCTGCCCACCGTTGGCTTCTCTGTGCTCATCTTTCCTCGTCTCCTTCAGCTGCAGCCTGTTGAGCCCCTGCTCCAGAAAAACCTCGTCTTCATCCTCGCCTCCCCCCTCCATGGCAGCGTCGTAACTCGCCTTCCTCACTGGGAAGTGGCAGTCCTCTGCACTGACTGTTATACAGCTTGAAGACGCCACAGTCGCCAGAGGTAAGGCAGGCTCTGAACTCCTCCGGAGTCTTCTGGGACACTGTGAAGAACCACTGGCCTGGCGGCTTCGGGGCGGTCGCACCGCAGGGCTGAACCTCCTGGGTCGAGCCAGAGGAGGGAGCTGCAGGAGGAGGTCCGAGTCAGGGTCCGGATCGGGGTCGCCATCACTAAGGGTGATGACAGAATCGCGGCTTCGGCTGTCGGGCTTGGTCTTGTCACGGAGCAGCAGCTGTTCCCGGCAGGGAGACTCCGGATCGTCGTTCAGCTCGTTCTCCAGACTGTCGTAGGACGAGTCGTTCATTTGGAAGGAAGAGACATCTGTGAAAGGAAAGACAAGCGGGTGAGCGAAGGATGAAGGAAAGACGTGGCTAAAGAAGTGAAGATGGGGGGGGGGGGGGGGGTGTTTTGAAGATTGTTATAAATATCTGGAAACTTTCAGCTTTTCTCTCGCTGTTGGTGACAAACAGCAGACCAGTGGAGTCTCAAAACGGCTCAGACATTAGCATCGGTTCTCCATTTCAGACAGCCGCGGTCACCCGAGCAAAGGTTTATCACACAGAGGTCCTTCTGTCCTGTTCTCCTACCAGATCCATGGTCACTGTTGCTCTTCTGGCTGAAGTCTCTGAACAGCGAGGTAATGTCTCCCAGAACGCTGCTGCAGTTCTCGATGAGGAAACGGACGAGCTCACACACCTGCGACAAGAAACAATGGATTCAATCATCCAATCAGCCACAGCTCGGGTTTTACTTCTCAAACACAAAAAAATGTAAAAGTCATCCACGCCTGGTTTCTGTTTGACTTACAGCTGCTGCAGTAGAAACGGCTCTTTCCCAGAAACTGAGACCTAAGTGCATTTATCTGTGAAACGTTACACATTTTAATGTCCTGCACTATCTTGAAGGATGTTTGTGCTGCTCTGACGTCAATCTGCCAGGTCCTTAAAGAGTATCTGCATTCCTCAGCAGCAGGTCATTGGAAATGCTTCCAACAGCCTCTAAGCATATTTTACAGAGTTTTTTAACTTTTGGAAAAATGTTCCATTCCCTTAAAGCAGCATCTGCTTTATGAGGACCATCAGACCAGTTGGACCCGGTCTACAAACAAATCGCACAACTAGAGCAAAGGCACGCCTTTTAAACTAAACAGACAGAATTTGCTAAACGCTGCTGACGTCCGCCGACACTAAGAGTCGGCAAACGGCCAAGTTGTTTCGTGCTGGAGACTCCCCATCGGTGCCGTCTGCCCAAGAGTCTCTGCAGGCCGTGTTTCTACACAGGTTGGGTTTCCCGCTGTGGCCGTGCCTCTGAGACAAACACACAAACACAGACGGCGTCGGTTTGTGACTCAACCCACTATGAGATCACGCTTGATTACAATTTTATTGTTTACAGCAACAAGAATGTTGTTAGAATTACATCTTGCTACCCGCGTGGCCTGGTCAGGGTCAACACCTGTTGCAACAGCGCTGAGCGTTCACATTTAGACTTAAAATGTGCACATTTTCTTGCCATTTGATTCCACAACCCAACCGGACGAAGGAGGATTTGGGTTTCTTCTGCAGCTAGCAGGGGCGCGTCCAGAACGAGGGCGGCCCGACGGGACCAAATACATTTTTGGGGTGGCACACCAAACTGGCCCTTGTGGTAACTCTCGGAGAGTTTAGCCTGTGGCGATGTATTGTTGCTTTATTCGTGTTTATTTAAAAAATAAATCAATAAATAAAATACATCTTTAAAAAAAACAGTACGTATCCAAAACATTTTACTCAAATTTTACTAACAAAAACATTTCAGAAAAATACATTTCAGTTATTTCAAAACTTGTTTTTACATCATTTATTTGTTTAATTCACCTGCTGCTGTGTTCACAAAATAATGGTGAGCAGCAGAACATATGTACTTTTTTTACTCAGATTACTTCTTTACTCATTAATTGCATATTTTTATTGTGTTGTTCATTTATGTCTTGAAGAAATAAGATAAATGTACAGTCTGAGTCTGAGTGAGGGATTTATCTCCTCACTAATAGTTATGTCTCTTGTTTCTGTCTAATCCTGTATGTCTGTGTTTTAGGTCAAATAAGCTTGGTAATCTATAAATTACTTTAAGTTAAGTTGATTTATTGGTGATCATCACTCCTTTCCTTCTGAGGTCATTGGTTTAAGTGTTGCCATGGAAGCGCATCCATAGGCAGCCATGATCATTTCCTGGTGTGCTTAATCAGCTCTACTGAGGGAGAAACTAATGGGCCATTCCCATCTGTATCGGGTCGGCCCGGGCCGGGTAGCCCCAGTTGGCCCCAGCCTGGCCCGGTTGATTCCACACATCCTTGTCTTAAGCCCATGTGGGCTGATTCGACCCACCAATCAGAGGCTTGCTCTAATGGAAGGTGTGAATTTGCTGTCAGCAGTGGGTGTGTTGGCCCTGGTCGGCCTGAAGCGGACCCCTCGAGAAGAGGGCTGAGAATGAGCCTTGGTTGGCCTGGAAAAATACCAGGCCACCCAGATATGTAAACAACCTACGCTACCCGGCCCGGGCCGACCCGGTACAGATGGGAATGGCCCATTACTGACTGAAGAGAGAGAGGGGGAGAGGAGGTTATCTTGTGTTTGTTTAAGTGTAGTTGTTGTTGTTTTTGTTCTTTTGAGTTAAGATAGGAGGTAAGTATGTTAACACTGTCTTTTCCTGGGGGGGTCAGCATTGGGGACACTATTGGCAGCTAGGCGCATGAGAACATTTAACTTGGCAGGAACTAAACATCTGATCATGTCTGGAGGTAAAGGAGGAGGATAGATGTATCAACAAAACCAATCTGTCCCTGACCCCCCGCCAATCACAATCTCCTTTTATTTTCCTACTCGTCTGCTACTGCTTCTCCAGAATTCCTTCCTGTCGCTTGGTGAGGGCTGCTACGTGATAAAGCTCAATGCTGGAGAGAGCCTGTGGGCATCCAGGAGGCTCACACTCATCCATCCATCAGCAGCTCCTTCCTTATCTCTGCAGGGTGTTATCTTAGCCTCTTTAAGCCGTTCAGAAGGGGTGAAAAAAATCGGTCATTGGCAAATATTTCATCTGTTAAAGCACGCATGTAGTAGTTTGGATCAATATGGTTTAAAACAGCAACATGAAGCAGAAAGGGTAAAAATGCAACACAAACTAAAGCTGCAATTACCTCTAAAGCTCCTACACAACTAGGAACATTTAAATTATACGCTGCATGAAGGAGAAACAGACACAACCGGATCTGCTGAAACGCCGAGTCCACGTGTCTCCTGACGAGCTCAGAGAGCAGTCACAACTCAGCCAAGAGCTCAGGACGCCAGCTGGGACCAAATTACTGTATGTCCTTAACTTTGCTTTTGTCTCCTCCCAGAAAAAGGACGACTGTCCTCAGAGAGACACAAACACCCAGAGGATGTAGGAACAAACCGCCTCGAGTTTGTGGGTGTCATGGTCTATTCAGCTGACAATCGTGTGTGTGTGTGTGTGTGTGTGTGTGTGTGTGTGTGTGTGTGTGTGTGTGTGTGTGTGTGTGTGTGTGTGTGTGTGTGTGAGGACAGACAAAGAGGGGTGTTTTCAGTGATTTCACACACACACACACACACACACACACACACACACACACACACACACACACACACACACACACACACACACACACACACACACACACACACACACACACACACACACACACACACATGCTGAAGAAATGTGTTTGCATTGATTCACTGACGTTAAATTCCTCAGCGTTTGCACACCGTCTGCGCAGGTCTCTCTACTCTCACTCGAGCGAACTTGGTTGCCCCGGTAACAGATCTGACGACGACTCTGGGAAACACACTCGCATTCTTGTAGTGAGATGAGGAGATTGGTACTACTGAGGTTTAATAAGGAGCAGCCCTGTGTTACATACCATGAAGGCAGGAAACACAGGGAAGCATTTAGCTCCACTGAGTCTGACAGTCTGGACACAAACTGTTGGGTCGGCTGTTTTATTGTTCAGTTGGATTAATCTGCATGTCTTCTCACCCTTTTTGTGGCCTCGCCCTCCATCTCAGGGCTGCTCGGGGCAGGAGGCCAAAGCATGCTGGGAGCAATACAGACAGACAGGTTGAAGGCGTTCATCTGGTTGTCGTGGGCGTGGCCCTGAATACAGTGCAGCACAGCGATCACATGCTGCAGCAGCTGCAGGTTCTCACTGGGAAGGAGGTTCAGCAACCTGCAGCAGGAGGAGGATCATTACTGCTGTCAGACGTTGCCTAATAGAGCTTTAGCAGAAGCTCCTACCTCTGAACGGCTGCCCCCCTCTCCTCTCCTCCTTCCACCTCCATCGCATCCATCCACTGCTCGTACAGATCCACACACAGCAGGCTCCCCGGGATGTTTCTCAGGAACTCCTGTCAACAAAATACAATGATCTTCTGTAAATCTGGCTCTTCTGTCAGTCAAGCTTGAACTTGCTCTAAATCATTGTTGTTGATGTCATTAAATAACATTTCAAGTTGTGAGACTCTGTTTCCTCCATATACCATAATAGATAAACATAAGCTTCTGTTTAAGCTGAGGAACATCAGACGCCCGAGCTGCTCCCTGGGAGCCCGACAGCGTAGCGCCTGCATCCTGAACAAAGCTGCACCTTGTGAGAGTGACTGGCTGCCTGCCTGGCTGAGCACAGACAAATTAGCCTGTCTGCACTCAGGTGACTCTGGACTCACATCAGTCGTGCGAGCGGTGTGTGGCTGACAGCGTTACCTTGAGGACAGCAGCAATGACGAACACGGACTGGTGTGCGATCTCCAGCTCCTCCGTCCCGCTGTCCAGGCTGTCTCGGAGCTCCCTGCAGGCTTTTGCCCCAGCCGAGCGCCTGAAGATGCCCCTTGTGTAAGGCCCCTCCAGATACAGAAACCCCAACATGTCCTTAAGGAAGCATTAAGAAAAAATTGCATCAAATGTAAGTAATGAAATCGGTTTTATAAGGAGAAAAACAAACGTTCACAGTCGACGCTAAAACACTCATCCTACGACGAGTCGAGATGAGGTCTCGACCAGTCTGGCTGGTCCAGGTGACCTTTACTCTGCTCACCATGACAGGCTTAGGCAGGCCATGATCTGAGGAGCACACGGAGCTCAGGGGTCGTCCAAAGAGCCGACCCTGAGAGGGGGAGAGCAGCGACGGGGACAGAGGCAGGCCATCCAGCTGAGGGTTGGAGCCCCTCCAGAAAGGCCAGTTGATCAGTGACCTTTTTCTCTTAAAGGACTTCTGCTGACCAGGTTCTGTAGAGGAGGAGTCAAAGAGAACTTCAGCTGGAGATGAGAAAGCTCCTAACAAGTGCAGGGCCAACTGCACATGTTAGTATTTTTTATTATAGTTTATAAATTCTGCATTAAACAGTGCAAACCTTTCTAACAGGCCCACAAGATCAAGTCAAAGCAGTTTCCCCCTTTCAGGGGTTAGATGTGATTTTTGAGAAACCTGCACACTGCACTGTGATATCATGTCGATGATAAATGACCCGCAGCTTTCTGAGTCAGAGGACTCCAAAGCGCTTTACACCACAGGTAATCATTCATCCATTCACACACATTCACAACCTGGTGGTAATGAGCTACAATGTAGCCACAGCTATTTTCTTGCTAAGCCTCTCAGTGCTGCACGCTGGAACTACAGGTGTTATGGAGAGAAAAGTTACGCTGCCTGCCGAAGGCTCCACCTGCCTGCTCTGTCACGTGAGCACGGTTCACAGCTGCATATTGAGGGAGTAAACAACTTGAAATAAGAGCAGCGCTGCTACTTTTAAGTATATTCAAAATATGAACAATTATTTAATCAGTATTATTTAAAGGGACTTTACGGACTTATGAATTTTTATGCTCGCGATTGCCCCCTCAGGCCAAAAGCGTAATGGCAGCTTTAATAGTAGGCTCGTGCACGAGGCGAGCATGCTGTACGTGCACACTCCTTAACGAAAATAACAGCTGAGACAGTCCCGTGTGTGTGTGTGTGTGTGTGTGTGTGTGTGTGTGTGTGTGTGTGTGTGTGTGTGTGTGTGGGGCCCGGAGGACAGAGGACAGGAGAATGTGCAGCTAATTAATTAAATAATTTGGTTCTGTACCTTTCTCTTCAGCACAGCCGACAAAGGTTTATGATGGGTCAGTCCTCCTGCATGCTCAGATCATTCCCTTCCCTTGCTTGAAAAATTGTTCCAAAATGAAAGTTGAACTCACATCTTTTTTATCTGTGAATTCAATGCCGTACGGCGAGTCTCAAATAAAAAATTGGGCGTCTTACTGTAAAAAAAATACCATTAATGTAAAAAAGAAACTCTAAATGAACTATGTTCACACCCAGAATCGAACCCGGGTCTTCTGTATGAGAGTCCGATGTCTTACTCGGTGAGCTAAAGCGCCAGTGATGTGCTTTGTATCTTTAACATTTATATCCTTGATGACAGCTGAAACAACGTTCAAAGAACAGTTCAGAGCAAAACTGGCTATTTTGTTGCTAATTTGCAGGAAATATCCAGAAGAAAGTTCTACAGAAAGTAGCTAAGGGTCCTCAGAAATGTAGCTAGGTTCATCACTAGGCGATAGGAACAGCAACAAAGTGGCACTGCCTCTCTCTCTACTGCTAAAGCTACTGATAGCAAATGCTACGGGCTATGCCTGAGCGTGAACGCGCATGAAGCAGCCTGCTCGACCCGAGCAGCTCTCTTTTTCTGTGATGTTACTGAAAAACAGACAATCACAGTAAAAATGCCAGGGCTCATTCTACAGGACCAGGGCATTGCAGGAGAATGTATGAAGAATACATTTATTATTTCTATACATGTTTTGGCTGTCAAACTTCCATAATGTCCCTTTAATAAAAAAAATTATAGTGAAACTAAAAGGACAATTTAGATGTGTTTGATTTTTTTTAATGCTTTTCTGAAAATAATCGGATCGGGAGCAAAAATACGTGATCGGAACATCCCTAGATGTTTTTATAAAAGGCGTTTTGTTTATTTGTTTGTTATTGGCAGATATTTTACACGTTACGCACAGAGAACATCGCGGAGGTAACAAAGAAAATATCTCCATCAGCACATCTGAGCAGTATCTCTCACATTCTCCATGAGGCAGGAGAGTGCCTGTGACGCACTCGACATTGTGCACAAGAGCGCAGTCTCCAGTGGAATCTAGGCTTGGGCGGGATTACCGTATACAGCCGGTATTAAAACACAGCAATGATGTCAGTTCCAATACCGCCATGAAAAAAAACTGCATGTAGGAGACCAGGATTAAAAAATATAAAGCAAAAATAACTAAAAAAAGATAAATAAGAGTTATTTAATGTATGAAACTAAAATGTGGTTGAATTTTCTGTTTTACTTAAATAGTTTTAAATGTTTTGTTCAACTTTTGGAGACTTTTCATAAATGGTCATGTGACCGCAGGGAGGACGGCGCACCGAGAGAAAAAGGGCAGCTCGCGCATCAGCTGACTCGCTGTCTAAAAACAACACGACTTCTGCAGTTTGGGAGTACTTCTGGTTCAAAACAAACTTACAGTAAAAGTAGAGCCGGTAAACACTGATAAGATCTGAGCAAACAAAAGATGATCACGAAAGATGCACGCTCCGTCAGAACCGTAGTTGAAACAGTACCTTTCTGTCTGGGGCCTGTTATTAAGAGACAACAACGCGCTTTTCTGGTGAAAAATAATATTCAGCACCTGCTTCGAGTGTGTCAGTGGAGCGCGGATTCATTCTTTCATATTTGAGAGTCATGGGTGGTAAAGTCAAAGTGCTCACTAACACATGTAGACAGATTTCACCACAACATTTAAGAGTCATGGTTGTTTTGTGTATGTACCATGGTCTGTACACTAATTTCAGATGTTTGAGTTCAGCTCATGAAAAATGGGAGCAAAAAAATTAATAAAAAATTATAATAATCATAATAATAATAAACAAATTATATATTTTATATATATATATATATATATATATATATATACACACACACACACACATACACATACAGGGGTCAGTTGAGGTGGTTTGGGCATCTGGTCAGGACGCCTCCCTGGGGAGGTGTTTCGGGCATGTCCTGCCGGCAGGAGGCCCCCGGGTCGACCCAGGACACGTTGGAGAGGTTACATCTCCAATCTGGTCCGGGAACACCTTGGGGTCCTGCCGGAGGAGCTGGTGGAGGTGGCCGGGGAGAGGACGGTCTGGAGCTCCCTAGTTGGGATGCTGCCCCCGCGACCCGGACCCGGATAAGCGGAGTAAGACGACGACGACGACGACATACAGTGCTCAGCATGAATGAGTACACACCCTAAGAATTTAATCAGCAACTCAATGAACGAAAGAACCATTTCTAGAATGTTTACAAGACTAGTTTTATTGAACACTTGTTTAACTCCATAAATGAAATTAAGGTTAATAATATAACTTAGATAACAAACTCTTTTTGTTTTTATTTGCTCGGCTAGGGGTGCACAATCACGAACGAGAGGCGTTTTTTCCAGGTGTAATCAAGGAAGTAGGGCGAGGGGCTTAAGGTGCAATACATTTTTTGTCTCTGGATGGTGTCCTCTGAGAAAAACTGGATTTCCACAAACACACTCTAAACCAGGGGTCTTCAACTACATTTGTTGAAAGCTTTTTTGTTCAGAGTTTTTCCAGCAGACACCGTGAAGGCCAGATGGTCTTCTGAAGTATTCAAGTATTATTGTATCTTAATTTAGTATTATTTTAAATGGCTTTCTTTCCATCTAAACTGTTTTGATTGTAGTTTTAGTTGTATTTGGAGAACTTAAACAATTATTGATATCTGGGACAATAATCCATCCATTCATTTTCATCCGCTTATCTAGAGTCGGGTCGCGGGGGCAGTAGCCTAAGTCGAGAGGCCCAGACTTCCCTCTCCCCAGTCGCTTGGGCCAGCTCCTCTGGGGGAATCCCAAGGTGTTCCCTGGCCAGGTGAGAGACATAGTCCCTCCAGCGTGTCCTGGGTCTACCTTTAGGCCTCCTCCCGGTTGGACGTGCCCGGAAAACCTCACCAGGGAGGCGTCCAGGAGGCATCCTGACCAGATGCCCGAGCCACCTCAACTGGCTCCTCTTGATGTGGAGGAGCAGCGGGTCTACTCCGAGCCCCTCCCGGATGACTGAGCTTCTCACCCTATCTCTAAGGGAGAGCCCAGCCACTCAGCAGAGAATACTCATTTCAGTCGCTTGTATCCGTGATCTCGTTCTTTCGGTCACTACCCAAAGCTCGGGATGATAGGTGAGGGTAGGAACGTAGATTGAACGGTAAATTGAGAGCTTCGCCTTCTGACTCAGCTCTCTCTTCACCACGGCAATAATATTGCTGCTAAACTTCAAAGTCCCCCAATTGGAAGATGTTAGGGCTCTAAGGGTTGGGGGGCAGGCGGAAAGGTCTGGTGGGTCGGATGTGGCCTGTGGGCTGCCAGTTGGGGTTCAATGCTCTAAACTATTGCAGATGTCAAATGGTTTTATGACCCACACGAACCAGAAATCAGGGTACTTTAATACTTGCTCTGATTTCAGGTGAGACATCAACAGACCTGATGGGTGTTTTTAAACAGGTAAACAGACAAAGAAGAAGGTGCGTGCTCACGCCTGCTATGACTTAGTAGCCCTGAGAGTCTGAATCCCCTGTGTGCACTGAAACCATTATTAATAAGTACAGTAAATGTCCTGCAGCGTCTCTGCCAGGTGAGGAATATTAGTTCATGCAGATTTGCTTTGTTACATAATGAGGATGAAAAAGAAAGAAACTAAATACAAGTTCTAAATCATAAATTGTCCTTCATGCCTGTTTTAAATATAAAAGACTTTATGGTGAGAAAGGCAGGCATTAAATCCTAAAAGTGAATGACTAATGATAACTAAACTGGCAGGAAGTACTCGGGTAAATCTTTTAACAGGCCATTGTTCTGATGCACAACTGCAGCTGCAGTGACTTGCCAACAATCTTGAAATAACATTTATTTTATTAGGCAGTTGTGATTTGTATCCAAGGGTGGGCCTCGAACAAACAAAAGATTCTTTAAGCGGGTGGAGGATCTCGCGGCCAAAAAAAGGCCCCATGAAAAATCAAAAGGCATGCCTCATTTAGAGCGCTTTATTCAACAATCTGATGTGGCGTCCGACCTGAATCCCCTCTGGAACAAGGTTCAGCGGGAACAGAGTGAGCTGCCACATCTCAGGAGGTGACAAAATATAAATGAGTACACAAGATGGCTGTAATCCACTACTGCTCTGT